CCGAGAGGGAGGGAGTACTTCATATAATGTAATACGATGTCTTGACCACAATTTTGAGTAAGGCATATGACTCTATTTTATTTCCAGATCAAATTGGAGGCCCGGCTATTGAGGATGTTTTCAGTTCCAGACCAGATCAAACCAGACCAGATCAGACTTCCGTAGTTATAAAATACACAAAGACCAGATGTTTACCAGACCAGACCAGTTCGGACCAGATCAGACCAGCAAATTTCAGTCCAAAAGAAAACATGATGAGTAGGTTGATCATGTAACATTAAGTGTAAACAAAATAGTCAAATAAAGAGGACAAACACTAAGAATAGTACAAAAGCTTAAAATGCCTCAAAGCATAGTAGCATACTGGTCCACAACATAGTGGTCCTAGAAATTCCGTCGGTCCATCATGATTAAGGACATCTTTTTTTTTTTAAATTAAAGCACCAAGGAACTACTCTTGTACTAACACCCCTATTTCGTAATAACACACTTTTATTTGTCTAGAGTAATGATACTGTTACTTAGTTTTGATCAGGAACACCTTTCCAACTTGTCCATTTGAGATGCTTGGGAGCTAATTTTTTTTTTGATGAAATTTGTGAGGATGTTTTATAATGAAATGTAAATTATGCTCAAAAATTTCAAATTAAATTTCAATCGGGAAATAAGTTAAATAAATTATTGAAAATCACTATATCAAATTGTATACAAAAAACACAGTGTTTTTTAATAATATATTTAACTGACTTCCCGATCGAATTTGGAACTGAAATTTTGTAATCATAATTTATGTTTCAATAGGTACATGGTCACAAAATTTAATCAAAAATTCAACTCCAAAACACCTCAAATAGAAAAGTTCAATTTGTTATAAAATGGAAGGAAATAAGCAGAAGATCAGGGAGAGAAAGTATAGTCTGAATACTTAGTGAGAAAGATGTTATTAGAAGTGTGATAATGGTGTTGTAATGGTGTGTTAATTACAATGAGAATGACTCCTATTTATAGGAGAAAGTGTGAGCTCAATGAGATTAGGAGATCATTGTGAGCCACACATTTATCACCTTGAAATCACAATTATGATTTCCTAATTATTTATGTAATGGTGATAATAATTCCTAATCAGGAATAGTTAGAAGATGACTAATTCAATAATATTTCAACACTCCCCCTTGAATGATCATCTTCTAATTATTCTGGGGTATTAGTTTCATAGTATTATAATGTACTGTCTCGTTAAAAACCTTTGTCAAGAAAAACCCAGTGGGATAAAAACCTGACGAAGGAAAAAAGAGTGCAGTGCATTATATTACTCCCCCTCAATTTAACATATATCTCGAAGACGATACATTCCAATTTTCTGGACCAGTTCTTCAAATTTCTTCGGTGCCAATGACTTTGTGAACAAATCAGCAGGGTTGTCGCATGACTTGATTTGTTTGACATCAGCAGTTCCGTCATTCTCAAGATCATGTGTGGAGAAAAGTTTTGGTGCTATATGCTTTGTTATGTCCCCTTTGATGTAACCTCCTTTGATCTGAGCTATACGTGTTGTATTATCTTCATAAATCATAGTAGGATTAGAAGTAAAAGATTTTATACCGCATTCATTTTGTATGTGCTGGATCATTGATCTCAACCAGACACACTCACGACCTGCTTCATAAAGAGCAATTAATTCTGCATGATTTGATGATGTTGCAGTTAATGTTTGCTTCATTGATCTCCATGATATAGCGGTATCACCATAGGTGAATAAATATCCTGTTTGTGATTTTGTCTTTTGTGGATCAGACAAGTATCCTGCATCCGCGTAGCCAATTAAAGTGGCATTTGCACCATTCTTGAAATACAATCCAAGATCGATTGTACCATTGAGATATCGGAATATATGTTTGACACCATTCCAATGCCTTCTTGTTGGGGAAGAACTGTACCTGGCTAATAAATTTACAGAAAAAGCAATATCTGGTCGAGTATTATTAGGCAAATACATTAATGCTCCAATAGCACTCAAATATGGTATTTCGGGACCAAGGATTTCTTCATCATCTTCACAAGGTCGGAAAGGATCATCATGCACATTGAGAGATCGAACCACCATTGGAGAATTGAGCGGATGTGCTTTATCCATGTAAAATCGCTTCAAAAGTTTCTCGGTATAATTTGATTGGTGGATGAAAATACCATTTCTCAAATGTTCAATTTGAATGCCGAGACAAAATTTTGTTCTCCCAAGGTCTTTCATTTCAAATTCTTTCATGAGATATTTTGCAGTATTTTCAATTTCATTAGGAGTTCCGATTATATTCAAATCATCAACATATACTGCAATTATGGCGAATCCTGATTCGGATCGTTGAATGAAAACACATGGACTAATAGGATCATTTTTATACCCTTCTTTAATCAAATGTTCACTGAGACGGTTATACCACATGCGTCCAGATTGTTTTAATCCATATAATGACTTTTGCAATTTTATGGAAAATAAATCTCGAGATTTTGAGCTATAAGCATCAGGTATTTTAAAGCCTCCAGGAATTCTCATATATATGTCTGTATCGAGTGAACCGTATAAATATGCGGTCACCACATCCATTAGGCGCATTTGCAGCCTTTCAAAAACAGACATGCCAATTAAAAATCTTAAAGTTGTAGTATCAACTACTGGAGAATACGTCTCATCATAATCGATTCCTGGCATTTGAGAAAAACCTTGGGCAACAAGTCGGGCTTTGTATCTAACGATTTCATTTTTCTCGTTGCGTTTACGCACAAAAACCCATTTAAAACCGACAGGTTTTACGCCTTTTGGCGTATGGACAATTGGTCCAAAAACATTACGCTTTTCTAGCGATTTTAATTGTACCTGAATTGCTTCATTCCATTTTGGCCAATCATTTCTACGACGACATTCGTCAATAGATTTAGGCTCATTGTCATCGTGTTCATTCATTATATCTGTGGCGATGGCATATGAAAATATATCATTAACATCGATATCATTTCTATTCCATTGTATTCCATTAGAAACGTAATTAATTGAAATTTCAAAATTATCGACGTTTCTATCTTTATCTGGAATATTTACCTCTTCGAAGGTGATTGGATCCTCTTTTGAGGTATCATTATTATTGATGTTATCTTCAAGGCCGATATTTTCAAAATGTTCATTTTCTTCTTGAGAAGGTTGAACTTCTTTGGCATCACAAACTACAACTTGCTGTTTAAATTTTCTTGGTTTCAAATCTCTTGAACCAAGTGGTCTACCACGTTTTTTACGTATCATAGATTCATTAGCAAGTGTGCTTTTGCTAATCTCCGCAGGAATTTCTATTCGAGAAGGAGCATTCATAGCTGGAACATGTGACTTTGTCACTTTCTTTGAGTCTGTGAAAGCATCAGGCAATTGGTTTGCAACATTTTGTAAATGAATAATCTTTTGAATTTCTTGTTCACAAGCATTCGTGCGAGAATCAAGAAAAGATAAATTTGTTGCATTCCAAGTAATATCTTTCGTACGTGGGTCCATTTCTTGAATATCTCCCCCTAAGGCTGGGAATACTGTCTCATCAAAATGACAGTCATCGAACCGCGCGGTGAATAAGTCACCGGTCATAGGTTCTAGATAATTAATAATTGAGGGTGATTTAAAACCAACATAAATTCCCAGCCTTCTTTGAGGACCCATTTTAGTACGATAAGGTGGAGCAATTGGTACATACACAGAACAACCAAATATTTTTAGGTGTGATATATTTGGTTCTTTACCAGATATTAATTGTAATGGGGAAAATTTATGATATGCCGTTGGCCTAAGCCGAATTAAATTTGCAGCATGCATTATAGCATATCCCCATGCAGATGATGGTAATCTGGATTTCATCAATAATGGTCTAGCAATTAATTGTAATCACTTAATTAAGGATTCGGCAAGACCATTTTGTGTATGTACATGTGGAACTGGATGTTCCATATCAATCCCAATTGACATGCAATAGTCATTAAAAGATTGGGATGTAAATTCTCCTGCATTATCAAGTCGGATTTTCTTTATCGAATAATCCGGAAATTGTGATCTCAAACGAATAATTTGAGCAAGGAGATTTGCAAATGCAAAATTTCTAGTCGATAAAAGACTGACATGTGACCAACGTGTTGATGCATCAATGAGCACCATAAAATATCGAAACGGTCCACACGGAGGGGTAATTGGCCCACAAATATCTCCTTGAATTCTTTCTAAAAATGCAGGAGATTCAACTCTAATTTTGTATAAAGATGGCCTGATAATTAATTTGCCAAGAGAACAGGCAGTGCACAGAAAATCACTTGATTGTGGAATCTTGACATTAGTTAATGAATGTCCAAGTGAATTTTCAATAATTTTGTGCATCATAGTGCTGCCTGGATGACCTAAACGGTCATGCCACAAGATAAAAGAATTGTGGTCATAAATTTTAGATACCACATTTATCTCAATTGGACTGATATATGTATAATACAGTCCCGAGGAATATGCTGGCATTTTTTCAGAAATGTATTTATTGCCAGATCTATTTGTCGTTAGACATAAATATTCCTTCTGATTTTTAGACATGGTTTCAATATGAAAACCATTTAGACGCAAATCTTTAAAGCTCAAAAGATTTCTCCGTGATTTACTGGAGTATAAAGCGTCTTTAATTATTAATTTTGTCCCTTTTGGGAGAATCACACAGGCTATTCCAGAACCTTCAATGAGTTTAGCAACACCTGAGATTGTATTGACATTAGCATCAACTAATGTCATATGAGAAAAATAATCTCTATGTCTCAAAATGGTGTGCGTTGTGGCACTGTCTATTAGACATTGTTCAGAGCCACTTGAAGAAATTTTAGTTAACTCCATATCTGCTAGGAAGATGATGATTTCAAGGATGTGGAGCAAATTCGTGCTGATAACGTGTTATAAAATGGAAGGAAATAAGCAGAAGATCAGGGAGAGAAAGTATAGTCTGAATACTTAGTGAGAAAGATGTTATTAGAAGTGTGATAATGGTGTTGTAATGGTGTGTTAATTACAATGAGAATGACTCCTATTTATAGGAGAAAGTGTGAGCTCAATGAGATTAGGAGATCATTGTGAGCCACACATTTATCACCTTGAAATCACAATTATGATTTCCTAATTATTTATGTAATGGTGATAATAATTCCTAATCAGGAATAGTTAGAAGATGACTAATTCAATAATATTTCAACACAATTCTTTTAATAATATAATTAATTAATGGTTTAAAGAGACAAACAAATTATAGCCGATGGTGGGATCAATAATGCAACACATAAGCATCATATTGAACCGTGGCATCGCCTGTCTTTAAATCAAGCCATTGAGTCCTGGCCTCAACGTAGCCGCGAGCGAACCGGAAAAGCCCACTGCCGCCGACGATGGACAGCTCCCGGACCTTCTGTAACGCCGGGTTCCGGCCGAGCACGGTGAGGGTGCTGCCGTTGTACTTGCCCTCAATGAAAGCCAGGTTCATCACCATCAAGAACCCAAGCTCGTCCTGACCCGCCGCAGCATAAATCCCCTGCGCCCTTCCGACGCACTTGGAGCTCAGATCCGGCCCTATAGTTAGCGGGTTGTCCATCATGTTTGTCTGCCCGAAGATGGTCATCGGCGACGAGTTTTTCGCCGGCGGGATGACTATGACTGAGGTTGGCTTGGTCCCGCTAAGAACGTCGTGCCAATAGAAGCGGAAATGACTTGCTTTTTCCTTCTTGAGTCCAAGAGATTTCTGGTCTACCGGCTTTCCGAAGATTTGCTCTTCTCCGGTAGCCGGAGAAGTGATGAGGAAGAAGAAGAAAAAGGCGAATGAGATGCTAAAAATGGGAAGAGTCATCGAATTCTTAGCCATGGCTAAGAGCTAGTTAGCTTAAGTGCTTAACTGCGCGATTGGAATCACTTTGGAGTTTGGACGATATAAACAGTTGGGTACTCAGGTATATATAGAGATACACCACCCGAATAGAAGTGATTTTTTTTAGCATACATGAGTTCTACACACAAAGTGTCCACAAAACTCCCATAGTTGCTTGTGTACACAGGCAATTCATTTGAAAAGATGCGGAATTTGATGTAAAAATCACCCTAATTGTCTATGTACACAGACAATATACAATTTGAGAACACATTTTGCGTACACAAAGAATGACCCTTAGAAGAGATAGATTGTCACGCCCCGGACCTACCCGGACACGTCAACAATCCGCCGTACAGTACGAATAGTCAACCGCAGTCCAACACATCCATACTATACAAGACGTCTGGAATATTGTTCACACATAGTACATCCATAAACAAACATAATGTAAAATATTCATTCAAAGCAGCGGAAACATTCAATACAAGTGTTCATGCCACACTTTGGCAAACATGGGCATACAAGCCCCAAATAAATATTTAAAATAATATCCATGAGCATTAATTAAAATGTTTATAAAATGGAAAACGGAGGGAGCACGAACCACGTCTCCTCCTTTTGGATCCTCCCGAAGCAACGGCGATGGTAGCAACCTTCAAGTTCTACCTGAAACAGTGAGGTGGCCTCCCCCATGAAGGGGAGGTCAGTACTTGGAAGCATTTGACAAGTACAATGACAACTATACTAAGTATAATCAAAGTTTCAATTTCCAAGACCCTCAATCTAGGATGTTGTCATTTTATAATCAACTCACGTTCCTTCATGCTAGAGCTCGGCTCATAGTCATACTAATTTGTGCTAGAACTCGGCTCATAGTCACATTACGTTTTGCTAGAGCTCGGCTCATAGTCATACTACATTTTGCTAGAGCTCGGCTCATAGTCATACTACATTTTGCTAGAGCTCGGCTCATAGTCATACTACATTTGCTAGAGCTCGGCTCATAGTCATACTACCACGTGCTAGAGCTCGGCTCATAGTCACGTCATCTAATCCTAAACAATCTTCTTAGTCTAGGTTCCATCCCTTTGAGTAACCCTTAAGGCTTACTCCTAATGTAACTTGGATTCATAAAGTTCCCTTAAAAATATCCTTTAAAGTTACTTAGCTCCAATATCTTGGATTATCTCCAAAGACTATTGAACTATCATTTCCGGCTAGTAATTCTATACTAGTCGTTTAATCTTAATATATCCAATGCAAATTCATATTAGTTCGTATATTTCAATTTAATTCCACATTCAAGTATAGTTTGGCTTTAATATCAAAATATCACTTTTATCCTTCCATGACTTCTTTACATGAGGTAAAAGTATATTTATCACAATGAACATTCATGGTTAATACATCTATCATGCCATTTTATTCATAACACATAATCATACACAATTTATTCATAATTTGTATATTATGCACTTTCACTTATAAACAATACTAAGTTCGTTTAGGCACATTTTTATCGTTTATAAACCATGCCAAACACTTTTAATTCATTTAGGTAATCTCATGAAATTAACCCAATAATTATAAGCAATATAGTCGGTCATCCTCACCTTAAGTGAGCTTAAGCGCGTTCTACGCTTCCCGGTTGAACTTTGACTAACTTTGACCAACTCCGGAAAACTTTGACCAACTCCGGCGAAGCTCAAAGATACTCTAAATCAAGTTCCTAACAAGGTTTTAACATCATAAAACCTTAATCAATACACATAACCTCTAAAAGGTTATTTTCCGGTGAACTTGTCGGTTTGGCTTCTAAATCCATTTTTGACATAGAACCACCTTCCAACCCCTTGTTCCACATTTATCAACATGTAGAACAATCCTAGGGTTCTTCATAATTTCTCAAATAATAATATATTCAAGAAAAAGAGAAGAGAAAGGTAAAAGGAGTCATTACCTAGTTTTTCCCCGAGTTTTGTACACTTTTAGAACTTAAACTCTTCCCTGGAGCTTCCTTCTTGTTGGAGCTTCCTTCAACAATGGTGAGAGGTGGCTGGAGTTTTTCTTTCTCTTGGTTGGGGTGGTGTGGTCGAAAATGATGGAGAGAGGGGGTTGGGGTTGGCTTTTTGTCTCAATAGGCAATTATGTGTGAGTTGAGAGACCCACCTTTGTCCTTTAGATGCCTCTCAAGTCAACCCAACCTCTACCCATCTTCCTCCTCTTACTCAGCCGCCCAACACCTCATTTTGTGTGTCTAAATTCGTGGGTTGGCCCCCACCTATGTGGGAGGTCAACCCTTTTTGTCCAGAAGTGTACAATCGGTCCCGAAAGTTGTATTTTCGGACTAGTTTAAATATATTTTATTTTATCGGGTCAATTAAAATATATTATGTGTTTCCAATCATTATGACCCTTACAAGGAATATACATTCCCCAACTTTAATTTATAAGCCTCCGAAATTCATTTCGGGCTGTTATCTGTTAAATTACCGATACCGGTATCTGGGCCTTCTTTGGCCAATCGGTCAACTCTGGGCCTTTCCACGGACCAAATGAAATATCCACCACTATATAAATATTATCTTGACCAAGATAAATAAAATATATGGTTTCGGGAATTACGGGCGGCCCCCGCTCCCGGTGTGGGCCCCACGTGCGAATTTACTATTCACGCAATAGAGTTGATAAAACTTCACAACTTCGTATACTCATTAACCATTCCATAAGGTTCAATACATTATTCACTTAAAAGTAAATACATTTGGGGACGGTGTTACAAGTTCACCCCCCCTTATTCGGGATTTCGTCCCCGAAATCCACATGTCTAATTGAAAAGAAACGGGTATTGCTCCCTCATTGAGACCTCAGTCTTCCAGGTTTCTTCTTCGACTCGATCACTCCTCCACAGAACCTTTACCATAGGAATCTCCTTGTTCCTCAGTTTCTTCACCTGTTGACCCACAATCTTTACTGGTTCCACCGCATATTGTAGATCTTCACGTATCTCCACCGGTGGCTTCTCAAGAATATGAGATGGATCTCTCACGTATTTCTTGAGCATCGATACATGAAACACGTCGTGTATCTTCTCAAGTTCCGGCGTCAACTTGAGACGGTATGCCACAACCCCTATCCTTTGAAGGATTTCAAATGGACCAATGTATCTGGGGTTAAGCTTTCCCCTCGATATAAATCGGATGATACCCTTCCAAGGAGAAATCCTTAGGAAGACCTTATCACCGACCTCAAACTCCAATGGCCTTCGTCGTTTGTCGGCATAACTCTTCTGCCGATCTTGAGCAGCCTTGAGTCTATCTTGAATGACTTTCACCTTATCCTTGGTGATTTCAACAAGTTCAATCCCCTCGAGCTTGGCCTCGCCAACCTCGTCCCAACACAACGGTGTTCTGCGTTTCCTCCCATACAATGCCTCGTATGGAGGCATGCCAATACTCGCCTGATAACTGTTGTTATAGGCAAACTCGACTAGAGCCAAATGTTTGTCCCAACTTCCTTGGAACTCCAGAGCACATGCCCTAAGCATGTCCTCCAATATCTGTATCACCCTCTCAGATTGTCCATCCGCCTGTGGATGAAAGGTTGTGCTAAACTTCAGTTTAGTACCCAAAGATGCTTGAAACTTGGGCCAAAATCGAGACGTGAATTATGGATCCCTATCCGAGACAATGGATATCGGGACTCCATGTAGTCTCACAATCTCCTCCGTGTATAGCTTTGTCAATCTTTCAAGGGGATAAGTAATGTTGATAGGCAAAAAGTGTGCACTTTTGGTGAGCCTATCAACCACTACCCATACCGCATCATAGTTGTTCATGGTTCGTGGTAGCCCCACCACGAAGTCCATGGTCACATGCTCCCACTTCCATTCTGGAATGGTCAGTGGCTACAAAAGCCCTGCCGGGTGCCGATGCTCCGCCTTAACTTGCTGGCAAGTAAGGCATCGACTCACGTACTCTGCGATGTCCCTCTTCATATCCGACCACCAGTAACTTTCCTTCAAGTCTCGATACATTTTTGTACCTCCTGGATGCATAGCATATGCCGAAGAATGAGCCTCCTCTAGTATAGACTTTTGGAGCTCTTCACTCTTTGGTATGCATACACGGCCTTTAAACAATAAAAGACCGTCATCACGTACCCGAAAGTTCTCCACGGCCCCTTCAAGGATCCTTTCGCGGATCTTCTGACATTCTTCATCAGTGGCCTGACATCTACTGATCTCACTCAGCAATGTAGGCCTAACCTCGAATCTAGCAATGAGGACCCCGCTCGTGGACACCTCCACTTGTGTAGGCCTGTCAATGGGCCGGGTCTAGACCCGGACCCGGTTGTTTTTAACGGGTATGGGTCCTTATTTTATTCCGTTTACCCGGACCCGAACCCGGACCCGTTAGTACTTTTAATAAACGGGTCGGGTATGGTACTTATGATTCCGACCCGTTAAGGACCCGGACCCGTTTAAAATTTCTTATTAGTATATATACACACACTAATACATAAAGAGATTAGTTATAATACTTCAAATAAAAATACAAACTAATATATATATAAAGTGATTAGTTTTAATTCTTTGATTAAAAAAGAAACGAATTAATACATACCTAATGTATAAGTGATAATATAATAGTACGTAGTATATAATATGCTTTTATTCCAAAAGAATTTTTTGTGACTTAATTTCTAGTCTAATATACGAGTTTTCTGTGGGAGAGAAAGAGACACAAAGTGCGGAATTGTACGCATCTACAAGAACCGATATTTTATTGAATAAAAGTACTAATTTTCTATGATAAACCTTGATTTTTTTTGAAAAGTGAAGATATATTTTGCTTTTAAATTTGTGCACTTTGATTTACATTTCATATACATGTTTTGCTATTTTTAAAAAATTATATAATGTTCTGTCAAAAAAAAGTTATATAATGTTGTGCATATGATACTTGGCGGGTCTACCCGACCCGGTTCCGAGACCCGTTGGGTCCGGGTCCGGGTCCAAATTTTTAGACCCGCCGGGTAAACGGGTCGGGTCCGG